GTTCAGGGCCTTGCGAACTCAAATGATACAGTACGGTACGCTGAGTTGGGAGGGGCAATGATGCAGAGGGGAGGGACGGTTTTGGCCACGCGACATGAGATGAGAACACAGATTGCAGGCGCATTATCTTATAAACCATGGCATAACGAACAAGCCCCAACTCAAACGCCCGGCATCACCCTGTGTGTAAATCCATAGCCCATGGCTGCATTGAGTTTGAGGTGACATGACATTTGATTAAACTCAAGTGATTTCAACTTTCAAATTAAACGTCCATCATCGTCCCTTCGATTGCATCCCCATCTGTAAATCCTTCGCCCATAGCTGCATTGAGCCTGACAGCCATGGCCCCATGACTTGACAGAAAGAGGCGCAGCTGTAGCGAATGGGGAGTGGTGCCTGCTGGTGGGGGGCAGAGATGCAGGTGACTAGGAGACAATCAACAAATGAAGACAGAAATACCATGCGCAGAGGTAGGTCAAGGATGGAATGAGTGACAACGATTTTTATTTCCCTGAAAAAAAAAAGCCCGCAACAAGTGACTAAAGAGGGGGGAAAGTGGGGGTGTGGGGGTCGCGAGAGGGGAAGCTGAAGCTGCGAGTCTGTTGAAGTGCTTCACCTCTATTCTACCTATCTCACCCCCCATCCCGCTGCTCGCTGCTCGCTGCTCGCTGAGAGGGGAAGCTGAAGCTGCGAGTTTGCTGCTCGCTGAGAATATGTCCCAACACCTCTACCTATCTCACCCCCTATCCCCCAACCCCATCCCCGCTCTCCATCCCCACGTGCAGCAGGCAAGGTCTGAGTCTTCCACATGACCACGGCTCGACCATCTTCAGCAGGCTTGAAGGTGCAAGGGGACCAGAGGGTGAGAGGAAAGGGCAAAGTGAGATTGTGTTCAAACATTTATCCTCGATCCTCATACTCTATCCTCACTCACACTCTATCCTCACTCACACTCTATCCTCACTCACACTCTATCCTCACTCACACTCTATCCACACTCACACTCTATCCTCACTCACACTCTATCCTCACTCACACTCTATCCTCACTCACACTCAATTTTCACTCACACTCCACCCTCACCGGTGGTAGGCAGGCTCTGGGCCTTCCGCGTGACCACGGCTTGAGCGGGACGAGTGGGTGAGAGGGGAAGCTGAAGGTGCAAGTGTGTTGACGTGCTAATCCCCAATCTCATCCTCCATCCTCACACTCTATCTTAACATCACCCGTCATTCCCCACACCCTATCCTCACCTGCAGAAGGCAGGCTCTGGGTCTTCCACGTGACCACGGCTTGAGCGGGACGAGTGGGCGAGAGAGCGAGGAGGGGCGAGAGGGAAGGGCATAGAGAGATTGTGTTCAAACATTTATCCTCGATCCTCATACTCTATCCTCACTCCCCGTCCCCACCTGCAGCAGGCCGGCTCTGGGTCTTCCACGTGACCACAGCCTGAGCTGGGCGAGAAGGCGAGAGGGCGAGGAGGGGCGAGAAGGTGTGGCGGGGAGTTGGTCGAAGTACCCACTGGAGTGGGGGGGAGGTGGGGGGTGAGATGTGAGGAAGGATGGGAGATGAGGAGGGATGGGAGATGAGGAGGGATGGGAGATGAGGAGGGATGGGAGATGAGGAGGGATGGGAGATGTGGAGGGATGGGAGATGAGGAGGGATGGGAGATGTGGAGGGATGGGAGATGAGGAGGGATGGGAGATGTGGAGGGATGGGAGATGAGGAGGGATGGGAGATGTGGAGGGATGGGAGATGAGGAGGGATGGGAGATGAGGAGGGATGGAAGATGAGGAGGGATGGGAGATGTGGAGGGATGGGAGATGAGGAGGGATGGGAGATGTGGAGGGATGGGAGATGAGGAGGGATGGGAGATGTGGAGGGATGGGAGATGAGGAGGGATGGGAGATGAGGAGGGATGGGAGATGTGGAGGGATGGGAGATGATGAAGAATAAGAGGTGATGAAGGATGGGAAAGTATGGAGGAAGGATGGGAGGGGATGAAGGAATGGTGGAAGAAGGTGAAGGATGGGAGAGGATGGAGTAGAGAGGGATGGGTACAAGAGAGAGGACATAGAGAGAGGAGTGGAATCACATAGAACAAATGAACACGCATGAAGTAATCTGCCTGGAAATTGCCAACAAGCATGTAATATCCAGCGTCAAAGGCTAGGATAGCTGTAGTACCTAGTGCACCTGTGCAGCAGCCACCCCACCTGCAGCACCCAGTGCATTGGCAGTACCTGCAGCAACACTCGTGTTCGGTCGGGCTGCTTGCTGTGTGCTGTGACTCGCGTGTACAGCCACGCTGCAGAGGCAAGCCTGGTGGGCGCTCAGAGATGTGGCAATGGACGGATGGGGCAGAGGAGACAGACGTGTGGGATTGGGACAGTTGATTTGTGTGTAGGTGTGTGAGTGAGTGTGAGTGTGAGTGTGAGTGTGTGTGTGCATGTGAATGAACCACGTGCGTGCGTGTGCCTGAGTTGCCAAATACGCTCAGGACACTGTGCGTTTAGCGGATATACGCTAGCTTTTACACGCTAAACGCAAGCTAATACGCTATACGCTTGCCAATTTTTTTTTGGGGCAGCCCGACCGAAAAAAATGTGAATATACGGAAAGATGCGGAATTGCACGACGAGCATTTTGCCACCGTCAAAATTCACGTCTGCGATTTGTGCAAGGGTGAACGGCGATTTCCGTGCTGATCGGCAATTTCCCTTCCGCGCAGATCCGCGCGGATCGAAGGTTCTTCCCGCAGAAGGGATGGGGGGAGAGACTCTCCCTAGAACAACGTCTTGTAGATCTGGACTGGAAGGAAGTGACGTGACGACTGTACAAATTTCAAGTATCAAATTGGTTGGATGAGATAGATGCAATGCGGTGAAGATAGGTGATGGGAGGGGGAATTGGTTGGAGGCAACATTGGCGATGGGTGTGGGGCACGAATTCCAGCATTGGCGATGGTTCCCTGTCCAGGATCTCTCCTACGCCTCCTCCTACACTCTAGCAATCATGCCTTGTGATTGCGAGCCCGAAGCAGAGCAGATTCGCGCAACGCTATTGCAGTCTATAGCCTACGAACTCTGCATCTTAACCCGATTTCAGGCCGAGTCGAGGGTGGTTATCTTAGTATGGAGAAAAACTTACCTCTGAAACATAACCCCTTAGATCCCCCCCCCTATAACAGCCCGGGCGGATTTTTTCCCCTGCCCGGGAAAGTTTTTTCCCTGCCCCAAAAAGCGTATGTCCAAATCGCTCCCTTATGCGTATAGCGTATATACGCTAGCGTATATACGATACGCGTATATACGCTATACGCGTATTTTGCAACTTAGGCGTGTGCATGTGTGAGCACAGTGCATGCGAGAGTGCATGCGTGAGTGTGTGCGCACGTGCGTGCGCATGCGTGTGTATGTGGGAATGCGTCCGCGTGTGCATGTGCGCATGTGGGAAGGGGCAGTAAAGTACCGGTGGGATGTGGCAGTAAAGTACCAGTGGGATGTGGCAGTAAAGTACCGGTGGGATGTGGCAAATACTTGGGATTGAGTAGTGTTCCACCAATTTTCAATCCCAAGTATTTGCCACATCCCACCGGTACTTTACTGCCACATCCCACTGGTACTTTACTGCCACATCCCACCGGTACTTTACTGCCCCTTCCCACATGCGCACATGCACACGCGGACGCATTCCCACATACACACGCATGCGCACGCACGTGCGCACACACTCACGCATGCACTCTCGCATGCACTGTGCTCACACATGCACACGCCTAAGTTGCAAAATACGCGTATAGCGTATATACGCGTATCGTATATACGCTAGCGTATATACGCTATACGCATAAGGGAGCGATTTGGACATACGCTTTTTGGGGCAGGGAAAAAACTTTCCCGGGCAGGGGAAAAAATCCGCCCGGGCTGTTATAGGGGGGGGGATCTAAGGGGTTATGTTTCAGAGGTAAGTTTTTCTCCATACTAAGATAACCACCCTCGACTCGGCCTGAAATCGGGTTAAGATGCAGAGTTCGTAGGCTATAGACTGCAATAGCGTTGCGCGAATCTGCTCTGCTTCGGGCTCGCAATCACAAGGCATGATTGCTAGAGTGTAGGAGGAGGCGTAGGAGAGATCCTGGACAGGGAAACCATCGCCAATGCTGGAATTCGTGCCCCACACCCATCGCCAATGTTGCCTCCAACCAATTCCCCCTCCCATCACCTATCTTCACCGCATTGCATCTATCTCATCCAACCAATTTGATACTTGAAATTTGTACAGTCGTCACGTCACTTCCTTCCAGTCCAGATCTACAAGACGTTGTTCTAGGGAGAGTCTCTCCCCCCATCCCTTCTGCGGGAAGAACCTTCGATCCGCGCGGATCTGCGCGGAAGGGAAATTGCCGATCAGCACGGAAATCGCCGTTCACCCTTGCACAAATCGCAGACGTGAATTTTGACGGTGGCAAAATGCTCGTCGTGCAATTCCGCATCTTTCCGTATATTCACATTTTTTTCGGTCGGGCTGCCCCAAAAAAAATTGGCAAGCGTATAGCGTATTAGCTTGCGTTTAGCGTGTAAAAGCTAGCGTATATCCGCTAAACGCACAGTGTCCTGAGCGTATTTGGCAACTCAGGCACACGCACGCACGTGGTTCATTCACATGCACACACACACTCACACTCACACTCACACTCACTCACACACCTACACACAAATCAACTGTCCCAATCCCACACGTCTGTCTCCTCTGCCCCATCCGTCCATTGCCACATCTCTGAGCGCCCACCAGGCTTGCCTCTGCAGCGTGGCTGTACACGCGAGTCACAGCACACAGCAAGCAGCCCGACCGAACACGAGTGTTGCTGCAGGTACTGCCAATGCACTGGGTGCTGCAGGTGGGGTGGCTGCTGCACAGGTGCACTAGGTACTACAGCTATCCTAGCCTTTGACGCTGGATATTACATGCTTGTTGGCAATTTCCAGGCAGATTACTTCATGCGTGTTCATTTGTTCTATGTGATTCCACTCCTCTCTCTATGTCCTCTCTCTTGTACCCATCCCTCTCTACTCCATCCTCTCCCATCCTTCACCTTCTTCCACCATTCCTTCATCCCCTCCCATCCTTCCTCCATACTTTCCCATCCTTCATCACCTCTTATTCTTCATCATCTCCCATCCCTCCACATCTCCCATCCCTCCTCATCTCCCATCCCTCCTCATCTCCCATCCCTCCACATCTCCCATCCCTCCTCATCTCCCATCCCTCCACATCTCCCATCCCTCCTCATCTCCCATCCCTCCACATCTCCCATCCCTCCTCATCTTCCATCCCTCCTCATCTCCCATCCCTCCTCATCTCCCATCCCTCCACATCTCCCATCCCTCCTCATCTCCCATCCCTCCACATCTCCCATCCCTCCTCATCTCCCATCCCTCCACATCTCCCATCCCTCCTCATCTCCCATCCCTCCACATCTCCCATCCCTCCTCATCTCCCATCCCTCCTCATCTCCCATCCCTCCTCATCTCCCATCCCTCCTCATCTCCCATCCTTCCTCACATCTCACCCCCCACCTCCCCCCCACTCCAGTGGGTACTTCGACCAACTCCCCGCCACACCTTCTCGCCCCTCCTCGCCCTCTCGCCTTCTCGCCCAGCTCAGGCTGTGGTCACGTGGAAGACCCAGAGCCGGCCTGCTGCAGGTGGGGACGGGGAGTGAGGATAGAGTATGAGGATCGAGGATAAATGTTTGAACACAATCTCTCTATGCCCTTCCCTCTCGCCCCTCCTCGCTCTCTCGCCCACTCGTCCCGCTCAAGCCGTGGTCACGTGGAAGACCCAGAGCCTGCCTTCTGCAGGTGAGGATAGGGTGTGGGGAATGACGGGTGATGTTAAGATAGAGTGTGAGGATGGAGGATGAGATTGGGGATTAGCACGTCAACACACTTGCACCTTCAGCTTCCCCTCTCACCCACTCGTCCCGCTCAAGCCGTGGTCACGCGGAAGGCCCAGAGCCTGCCTACCACCGGTGAGGGTGGAGTGTGAGTGAAAATTGAGTGTGAGTGAGGATAGAGTGTGAGTGAGGATAGAGTGTGAGTGAGGATAGAGTGTGAGTGTGGATAGAGTGTGAGTGAGGATAGAGTGTGAGTGAGGATAGAGTGTGAGTGAGGATAGAGTGTGAGTGAGGATAGAGTATGAGGATCGAGGATAAATGTTTGAACACAATCTCACTTTGCCCTTTCCTCTCACCCTCTGGTCCCCTTGCACCTTCAAGCCTGCTGAAGATGGTCGAGCCGTGGTCATGTGGAAGACTCAGACCTTGCCTGCTGCACGTGGGGATGGAGAGCGGGGATGGGGTTGGGGGATAGGGGGTGAGATAGGTAGAGGTGTTGGGACATATTCTCAGCGAGCAGCAAACTCGCAGCTTCAGCTTCCCCTCTCAGCGAGCAGCGAGCAGCGAGCAGCGGGGATGGGGGGTGAGATAGGTAGAATAGAGGTGAAGCACTTCAACAGACTCGCAGCTTCAGCTTCCCCTCTCGCGACCCCCACACCCCCACTTTCCCCCCTCTTTAGTCACTTGTTGCGGGCTTTTTTTTTCAGGGAAATAAAAATCGTTGTCACTCATTCCATCCTTGACCTACCTCTGCGCATGGTATTTCTGTCTTCATTTGTTGATTGTCTCCTAGTCACCTGCATCTCTGCCCCCCACCAGCAGGCACCACTCCCCATTCGCTACAGCTGCGCCTCTTTCTGTCAAGTCATGGGGCCATGGCTGTCAGGCTCAATGCAGCTATGGGCGAAGGATTTACAGATGGGGATGCAATCGAAGGGACGATGATGGACGTTTAATTTGAAAGTTGAAATCACTTGAGTTTAATCAAATGTCATGTCACCTCAAACTCAATGCAGCCATGGGCTATGGATTTACACACAGGGTGATGCCGGGCGTTTGAGTTGGGGCTTGTTCGTTATGCCATGGTTTATAAGATAATGCGCCTGCAATCTGTGTTCTCATCTCATGTCGCGTGGCCAAAACCGTCCCTCCCCTCTGCATCATTGCCCCTCCCAACTCAGCGTACCGTACTGTATCATTTGAGTTCGCAAGGCCTGAACCTGCAGGT